GGGGTTGAATCGGTTTTCATACGCAGATAGACTGAAGTCACTGGGATTATATTCCAATCATTACCGGCGCATCAGAGGAGATATGATTATGGTGTACCAAATAATGCAAAACCCAAGCCATCCGTGTCGCCCGCTTTTGAAATTATCACCCAACGTTCATCTTAGAGGACACCCATTTAAACTAGTGGTCTCAAAATGCCGCTTGGAATGCCGGCGTCAGTCATTCGCAGTCAGAGTGTGTTCGATCTGGAACTTTCTACCATCCTACGTCGTCTGTGCTCCAAGCGTTGAGTCTTTCAAACTGAGGCTCGATGAAACACTAGCACATATTACGTTCCAACATAAGTGAAGCTGCGTAAAGCAGTGGAAAACGCACGTATCACGTGGCATTTTACAAAAAGATTTGTATGTATCACTGTTTCCTAATCCACCGCACGAACCTATTGGACCAGAAAAGCATGAGCTTGTAAGTTATTCCCATAATAAATCTTTGAATCTTTGAAACTACAATGCCGAAGGATCGGAGGGAGTTCATACCTGTCCATTGGGCAACTCCGCGCCGCATAAAGCCTATGTGAGTAGAGTGTGGATATGGTATCACAATATCAGGGATGTTGATTGGCCCACTCATTCTCCTGATTTGAACTTCGTTGAATGTGCTTTGGGTTTGATGGCAAGATAGTTCTATGCAAATGTAACATTCCTCGATACACTCTGAATGTCAGAATTGATGCTATCCATTCTTTCGTTCTGAGCAAGAATGGTAATTGTAACTTATCACTATATGATGGGTTCTATCGATCGGTCAGGGTGTATGCTTAAGGTATTTTGTGTTGTTTTGGCAAATTATTAAAGATAAAAATCGATTTTGTCAAGTCAATGTTCAAATCCGTACACAAACTGTTAATTAAAAAGACTATATTTAAAGCTGAAACTGTCATTTTTTTGAGTACTTTTAAACTCACTTTTTATACTTTAAATCGTTTTGGCATTTTTTCGGCCTTAATCGTCCATCAGCAACTGGCGGCCGCTGATTGATCATTTCTGTAAATTTTCTCATTTTTCTCATCAATTCTCAAGGTCTTTATGTCTGAAGACCGGAACATTATACAAGCAGACGAGCTGAAACTGTAATTTTAACTTGCTCTCGGTTCGTCAATTATACGTTTGTTGCTCACCGTCTATGTTCTTGCTTACGCAGCTGGAAGAACGCTACGAAGGCTAATGACGTGCATTCTGTGCTGTGATCATACCTCTGGGGCTAAACGACTAGTGTGTCTATTGAGGTACGCGCTCCGTAGTGTTCGGACCTACCTCATATCTAAGTGTGCGTTCGAGCTCTCTGAAATCGTGCACTTCGATTGTGAGTGTCCAGTCTGCTTTTTGCGTCCATCGTCAGTAGTGAATGCCACTGCCATTGTACTGTGCTGTGCTGTACCGCATCAATTCCGTTTTTGGGCATGTTGGGTCTCACACCGTTTCTGTGTTATTGTGTCAGTGTGTTATTCATGTTGTGGGTGTGTTATTTGTGAGTGATCGTGAACGACATAACACACACCCAATACAAATTTAAAATAAAACATAAGTATAATAAGTTTCATGAACATATGTATATGTGTTTGCAACGTTACCGCAGAGAAACTGGAGTGCTCTAAAAGCATTTTCAAACTGTATTATTTTGGGATCAATAGTGTTTAAACTACTAATAATTTATTGCCAAAGTGACGAGATAGGAATTGAAAAGGTCGTGAACTTTTGGCATAACGGGTAGATTGTGGTGTGAGAGGTCACGTTCCAAAATTTACTAACAATATAATCTGCAATGACTTAGAAAGAAACAGTTATCAACCAATTTGATCTAGCAACCGGCTAAATAGGTTTATGATTCAGATTAGTACAGACTAGGCAAGATGGTATCATTACTCAGAGCATGTATCGGGGCTTGCCATTGAAGGTCCGAACACTCCATCAGTATCATCAAGTCCTCCTCAGTGGCAAACAGTGATCTGTACTGTTTCATGTTTTATGGTAGCCAGATGTAACACTATTCATCCGGCCTACTTCGGTTTTGTCATTTCTAGAAATGAACAGTGAATTTGTAAACAGTAGGATAAAGTTGTCTTACAACTTATATTATTATTATTATTATTATTATTATTGGGTTGCCGCAGTCCACCGGAATCAAATAGGATGACCATTTGATGCTTTAAGGTGTTCCGATAGAGAGTGAACAATTAAATTTGTTGTCGTTCTGCGAGGAATCCAGTTTTCCTAGTGGTTAAAAACCGTATTTTATGCTTTTAAATGTTTCTCACTGTCACAAAAATATTATTCAATATGAAACAAACTTCTACGATTTCTGTGTGCTGGAATAGGCGAGTCTTTTGAGACGCAGCCTCGATAGAAGAACTCAAAAGTAAAGGTGAGTAGTATTACTAAACATAAGAAAGACTTTATAAAGATAGACGGAAGCTTTTTGTTTTTCTTTCATATAAAATCCTTGCACGATGCACTTCAGATTCCTCCTCTCAATAACTGTTTCCGCTCATCTATGCCAGTTTGCTTTCTCGTGGTAAACTGTTTTTTCCTACCAGTTAGATCATTACAATTTAGGGAAGCAAACCACCTTGTAGCACGAGATAAATCTATCGATACGTCAAGAATTGTGGTAAACGGAATGGGATTTATGACCCACAGTTCCAATTACTGAGTGAGCTTCGAACAAAGATTCAGAAGAAGCTATTGAATATCACCTTCTACCCTCCTCAAAGTTACTGAAAAACTGATAGCCAGAGTATCGTTATTTCTCTGGATAATTTTATTTTTGGAGAGAACAGACTCTTATTAATCGGTGTGGGACAGCAAGTAGGTGAATAAATTAGTCGAAAAAAATTTCTATCAGGGATATTCGGATATGACAGAAATTGCCTCTCTGACGAATAGGCCTTAATCATCGAAGATATAAAAACCGATCTGTCGTGGAATAAATAGCAACGCCATCCCGGTTTGTGTCTGAATTTTTGGTGATGGTAAAGCAGTTTTAATGGTCTGGGTAAAACGGTTCGAGTTAGATACGAGAATTCAAAAATTAAATACGGATCCTCAAATGAGACAACACGTTAGGCAGGAGCACTTACATTACAAGAAACATAGAAACACCGTTGAATGTAATTAGTCACCTGAACACATAATGAATAATCCTCAAACTTATATTATAGTCTGAATTAGGTTTTGTTAGACGAATTTTGTTTATTGCTAAGTAGAAAAAATGCCACGTGAAGAAAAAATGATACACTCATTCATCGGTGATAAATGCAAACTCTGAGATTGAGGTGATCTCAGCAACAGTTGAAACTCCTTACCCCGTGCCAGAGGACTCAAATGACCGATATTCTCCTGGCTCACCCGGAGCTTTTCGTGATTGTACGAGAACTTTGCCTCTTTTTCCTCTCTATCCGTTGCTGGCTCAGACAGGACTGAGTGTGGAGATTGTGCGTACGGTTCGTTGTGGTCTGTTGTATCTGTCACCCGTGAACTGGAACCGGAGGTATGTATACGATCCGGAAATGTGTTACTTCGATTGAATAAATATCGGGATTTGGATGCACTTTCCGGTGAAACTGACGACGGGCTTTGATTTCTCCCATCGGTGAACGATTTACCTCGGCGTGTTTCATCACCAGAACGCGATTTCCGGTCGATCGTGGGCAAAATGGATGTGACAGCCGTGCCACGATGTCCCTCATGGTGAGAAATCCGATCCACTTGCGACTCTTCTCCGCGACTACGATCACATTGTTCATCCAAATGTAACTGTTCTCGAGCAACACGTTCATCCCATTTTCTTCGTAATTCTTCAAAGTTTAACCGTGAACGGAGATCACTTAACGGTTTGATTTTTGACCCGGGTTGGTCAGCTCGTGCAATAATGGGAGCCGTAATTTCCGATGATTTGGATGTGCTGTATGCCCTCATTTTACTGGAAAGTGGACTTGGTAGATTTGGACGGTCATAGAAGGCGGAAGTAAATTTAGACGGGGTTCCTGCTGGTTCAAAACTGCTTGGGGATGTAGAATATGTTGTTTTTGCTTTGGGCTGAGCATTTTCTTCCTCAGAAGCCGATTGAACACCTTTGTCAATGTAGTCCGCTTCTTGTTGCTCATTTTCTTCGATATCATTATCATCATCATCATCATCCAACTCTTCGTCTCCGGAATATAGTTCTCGGGCCATGACGGTTTCTTGTCGGGTTTTACGGCTGGCTGAACGTTCCAGACGGGATTTTCTAGCAATAGAGCTGGAATATTTCACCCCT